TTTGAAAGTCGAAATTATGACTTTGAATCTCATAATTATGACTTTGAATCTAATAATTATGACTTTGAACGTCGAAATTATGACTTTGAATCTCATAATTATGACTTCGAATCTCATAATTATGACTCTTAATCTCATAATTATGACTTTGAATCTCATAATTATGACTTTGAAAGTCGAAATTATGACTTTGAATCTCATAATTATGACTTTGAAAGTCGAAATTATGACTTTGAATCTCATAATTATGACTTTGAAAGTCAAAATTATGACTTTGAATCTCATAATTATGACTTCAAAGTCGAAATTATGACTTTGAATCTCATAATTATGACTTTGAACGTCGAAATTATGACTTTGAATCTCATAATTATGACTTCGAATCTCATAATTATGACTCAATCTCATAATTATGACTTTGAATCTCATAATTATGACTTTGAATCTCATAATTATGACTCTGAATCTCATAATTTTGACTCTGAATCTCATAATTACGACTTTGAATCTCATGATTATGACTTTGAATGTCATAATTATGACTCTGAATCTCATAATTATGACTCTGAATCTCATAATTATGACCTTGAAAGTCGAAATTATGACTTTGAATCGCATAATTATGACTTTGAATCTAATAATATGACTTTGAACGTCGAAATTATGACTTTGAATCTCATAATTATGACTTCGAATCTCATAATTATGACTCTTAATCTCATAATTATGACTTTGAATCTCATAATTATGACTGAATCTCATAATTATGACTTTGAATCTCATAATTGTGACTCTGAATCTCATAATTATGACTCTGAATCTCATAATTATGACTCTGAATCTCATAATTATGACTTTGAATCTCATAATTATGACTGAATCTCATACTTATTACTTTGAATCTCATAATTATGACTCTGAATCTCATAATTATGACTTTGAATCTCATAATTATGACTCTTAATCTCATAATTATGACTTTGAATCTCATAATTATGACTTTGAAAGTCGAAATTATGACTTTGAATCTCATAATTATGACTTTGAATCTAATAATTATGACTTTGAACGTCGAAATTATGACTTTGAATCTCATAATTATGACTTCGAATCTCATAATTATGACTCTTAATCTCATAATTATGACTTTGAATCTCATAATTATGACTGAATCTCATATTATTACTTTGAATCTCATAATTATGACTCTGAATCTCATAATTATGACTCTGAATCTCATAATTATGACTTTGAATCTCATGATTATGACTTTGAATGTCATAATTATGACTCTGAATCTCATAATTATGACTCTGAATCTCATAATTATGACTTTGAAAGTCGAAATTATGACTTTGAATCTCATAATTATGACTTTGAATCTAATAATTATAACTTTGAACGTCGAAATTATGACTGAATCTCATAATTATGACTTCGAATCTCATAATTATGACTCTTAATCTCATAATTATGACTTTGAATCTCATAATTATGACTTTGAAAGTCGAAATTATGACTTTGAATCTCATAATTATGACTTTGAAAGTCGAAATTATGACTTTGAATCTCATAATTATGACTTTGAAAGTCAAAATTATGACTTTGAATCTCATAATTATGACTTTCAAAGTCGAAATTATGACTTTGAATCTCATAATTATGACTTTGAATCTAATAATTATGACTTTGAACGTCGAAATTATGACTTTGAATCTCATAATTATGACTTCGAATCTCATAATTATGACTCTTAATCTCATAATTATGACTTTGAATCTCATAATTATGACTTTGAATCTCATAATTATGACTCTGAATCTCATAATTTTGACTCTGAATCTCATAATTACGACTTTGAATCTCATGATTATGACTTTGAATGTCATAATTATGACTCTGAATCTCATAATTATGACTCTGAATCTCATAATTATGACCTTGAAAGTCAAATTATGACTTTGAATCGCATAATTATGACTTTGAATCTAATAATTATGACTTTGAACGTCGAAATTATGACTTTGAATCTCATAATTATGACTTTGAATCTCATAATTATGACTCTTAATCTCATAATTATGACTTTGAATCTCATAATTATGACTGAATCTCATAATTATGACTTTGAATCTCATAATTGTGACTCTGAATCTCATAATTATGACTCTGAATCTCATAATTATGACTCTGAATCTCATAATTATGACTTTGAATCTCATGATTATGACTTTGAATGTCATAATTATGACTCTGAATCTCATAATTATGACTCTGAATCTCATAATTATGACTGAATCTCATGATTATGACTTTGAATTTCAGAATTGACTTTGAAAGTCAAATTTATGACTTTGAATCTCATAATTATGACTTTGAATCTCATAATTATAACTGAATCTCATAATTATGACTTTGAATCTCATAATTATGACTGAATCTCATAATTATGACTTTGAATCTCATAATTATGACTCTGGATCTCATAATTATGACTCTGAATCTCATAATTATGACTTTGAATCTCATAATTATGACTTTGAATCTCATAATTATGACTGAATCTCATAATTATGACTTTGAATCTCATAATTATGACTCTGGATCTCATAATTATGACTCTGAATCTCATGATTATGACTTCGAATCTCATAATTATGACTCTTAATCTCATAATTATGACTTTGAATCTCATAATTATGACTTTGAATTTTATAATTATGACTCTGAATCTCATAATTATGACTCTGAATCTCATAATTATGACTTTGAATCTCATGATTATGACTTTGAATGTCATAATTATGACTCTGAATCTCATAATTATGACTCTGAATCTCATAATTATGACCTTGAAAGTCGAAATTATGACTTTGAATCTCATAATTATGACTTTGAATTTAATAATTATGACTTTGAACGTCGAAATTATGACTTTGAATCTCATAATTATGACTTCGAATCTCATAATTATGACTCTTAATCTCATAATTATGACTTTGAATCTCATAATTATGACTGAATCTCATAATTATGACTTTGAATCTCATAATTGTGACTCTGAATCTCATAATTATGACTCTGAATCTCATAATTATGACTCTGAATCTCATAATTATGACTCTGAATCTCATAATTATGACTTTGAATCTCATGATTATGACTTTGAATGTCATAATTATGACTCTGAATCTCATAATTATGACTCTGAATCTCATAATTATGACTGAATCTCATGATTATGACTTTGAATTTCAGAATTGACTTTGAAAGTCAAATTTATGACTTTGAATCTCATAATTATGACTTTGAATCTCATAATTATAACTGAATCTCATAATTATGACTTTGAATCTCATAATTATGACTGAATCTCATAATTATGACTTTGAATCTCATAATTATGACTCTGGATCTCATAATTATGACTCTGAATCTCATGATTATGACTTTGAATCTCATAATTATGACTTTGAATCTCATAATTCTGACTCTGAATCTCATAATTATGACTTTGAATCTCATAATTATGACTTTGGAAGTCAAAATTATGACTTTGAATATCATAATTATGACTTTGAATCTCATAATTATGACTGAATCTCATAATTATGACTTTGAATCTCATAATTATGACTGAATCTCATAATTATGACTGAATCTCATAATTATGACTTTGAATCTCATAATTATGACTCTGGATCTCATAATTATGACTCTGATCTCATGATTATGACTTTGAATCTCATAATTATGACTTTGAATCTCATAATTATGACTTTGAATCTCATAATTATGACTTTGAAAGTCAAAATCATGACTTTGAATCTTATAATTATGACTGAATCTCATAATTATGACTTCAAATCTCATAACTATGACTTTGAATCTCATAATTATGAACTTTGAAAGTCGAAATTATGACTTCCTGTTGGTCTTCTTTTTCCTTGGCGGAAATGGGCTTCCATATAAATTACTTTTTTTTTTTACCCATATCTTTGTTTTTGCTTCCTAAATTTTCAGCTGAATCCTGTTTTTTTTTTAATCTTCCTGCATAAAATTTTACAGTAAGCAGCTGGTTGTGTCTTTCATTTAACTGATTGTAACATTAAAATCCAAATAGAGCTAAACTACATTGCATAGCCTCTAAGAAAATGATTCATACAAATGAGTCTTGGCAATAATTCTCATTTGTCTGCAGTTCACCGACTATCAGAGCTACGTTTTCAGAAATTATGACTATGACCACGATGGCTATATATCACAAGAAGACTTTGAGAGTATTGCAGCTAATTTCCCATTTCTGGACTCATTTTGTGTTTTGGATAAAGATCAGTGAGTGTGAAAAATAACTGACGCATCTGTCTGCTGTCATAGCAAATCAATTTAACTAATTTATGAACCATTTGGTGGATTATGGAAAACGTGTGGCGATTGGTCTATGCTTTACTTACAGTCTGCAGTAATGTTCAAGAAAGATGGAAGGTTTGCTTTTTAAAATGAATTGATGATTGGGATTTCATCCCCTCAGTTTGCATTTCCTCATCACCAAACTCAAAGTAATGTTGATTTTGTGGATTAAACAATTTGTCTGAGACATTCTTCTTTGAGAAAATGGCAAATTTGATGTGTGTTTGCAATCATTTACTAACTGGTAAACTCAGCTGGATTGAAGTTTTATTCATCAGACACAAAGTGACACTTCAACTAGAAACTAGACAGAATGAGAACAGCCTAGAAATCACAAAGGCACAACCCAATGTACGCACTTTTTATCTAAAAAATCTTTTTGTACTGTGGGAGGAAGCCGGAGTACCCGGAGAGAACCCACTCATGCTCATGAAGATCAAGAGGTCTTGGGTTTGAACCCAGGCCAGGATTCAAACCCAAGACCTCTGTTTCGCAAGTTTTTTCACTTTTCATCAAATGAAAAGTGAAAAAACAAGATGCTACATACTTAAAATCAGGCAGTCAAGATAATCGACAACATGCCTTCTTACTTCTCTTCACTGCCTTCTTATCATCCCAAATTTCCACAGGTGGTGGGGGAGGTAGAGGTGAAAACCTCCTAATCTTCAAAGCTTCCCCAGCCGGGGAAGTTTGTTTTGGAAGAAAACTAAAAGAATCCTTTTGAGTCCAATCTTCTAGGGCTCTTTTTGATGGAGGAGAAGCTTTCTGCTCTTTAGGCTTCTCTTTGTTTACATCTTCCACATCGATGTCTTTTACGTCCTCCTTTGTTGAAGATGTCGGCTCTTCTGGCTTTTCCTTGTTTAGTTCAGAGACTCCTGGCTGAGGAGTCTCTTCCACGCCGATGTCTTTTACGTCCTCTTTTGTTGCAGACGTCGGCTCTTCCGGCTTTTCCTTGTTTAGTTCAGAGACTCCTGGCTGAGGAGTCTCTTCCACACTGATATCTTTCACTTCATCTTTTCTTGAAGAGGTCGGCTCTTCCAGCTTTTCTTTGTTTAGATCAGAGACTCCTAGCTGAGGAGTCTCTTCCACACTGATGATTTTCGCTTCATCTTTGGTTGAAGCGACGCAAACTTCTCCAGCCGGAGAAGTTTGCGTCGCAGGTGGAGGAGGCCTGAAAAGATAGGCATCTATCACATCATAATCATCCATCCATTGTGCAGAGGGATGATTATCCTCTGAGCAATCCTCTCCAGCCGGAGAAGGATTGAAGAGAAAAGAATTGAAATCATCCGGCCACTCTTCCTGGTAGGGAAGTCTATCCTCGTCACTCTCTTCTCCAGCCGGAGAAGGATTGAAGAGGAAGGAATCAAAGACATCCAGGTCCTCATCCTTAGATGGCATTCCAAATTGTAGGTTTGGCAGGATAACATTCAATGTTTTCCTGATGGCTGTGCTGGCCAAATAACCAAGCCCAAAAGACACAGGAAAGAAAAATGTCGTTCCAATCGCTTTCAGATCCAAAGACATGGCTAAACAGAATTGCAACTGAAAACTGAGGTTTTGAGATGCAAGTTTTTATAGCCTCAGAGGTTCTTAGATCTATGACATAGAACTATGTCATAGATCTAAGTCATTGATGAGGTCATAGCTACAATGAGCTCACTGTAGTTCTGGACAATGTCTTGCTTCTGATCGTTGCTATAGCAACAGTCAGATCAGTTCTGCATGATTGAAACTATTAACCCTTTGCAACTGCTTGACTTCATCATTGGAGGCGCCATGACGGACGTCGGCAGTGAAGGATGGGAGAACTGAACAGAGTGACTTCAGTTATTTATCCAAGTTGTTTTTACCAGTTTCTTGGTGGCTTCTTCTTGTTGGAGTGGAGATAACTTGTCTGTGAACGTAACAAACCTGATTGGGGATCATAGACGGTGATATTTACAAAAGTTGGAAATTGCTAGCTTCCAAACCGACCCATACTTCCTCCATCCTGATGTGTTCAAATTTTGATTTGTCCTGAATTCACACCAATTTATTTATCACTATGTCATAAATAGAGTTTCCCCTTACACTGGAGCAACATTAAAAACAATCAAAAAATCACCAGAGAGGAGCATTTGAAAGGCCAAAAGGTTATTTTATGCAATTGCTTGGCTGCTAGATTGTGGGATGTGTTTGCTTCAAAGACAGTGGACTGTCGCGAACTTAAAGACGGACACGGGCCACCGGTTGTATTTTTTGTCCCAGCCTTAAAAACTTTGCTGGATGGTTGTGCTTTAGGTGCACGTGCAAGTTGGTTGTATTGTTGCTCTTAGTTGCTACTGTTTTATGACAAATGCGACATACCGGCTCGCAAAGGTTCAGCGGTTCGCCTCGGTCATTTGGTTTGAATCCGAAATAGTCCCACACTGCTGCAGTTGCGTTCGGCTTTGAAAACCGGTTCCATTTCGAGCTTTGAGATATTGTTTCTTTGCTTTGCTAACTCCTCACGGGGCTCTAAAGCAATAGAAATACAAAGCGATCCGAGCACTTACTACCTGATGCAATAGTCCACTAATCCTCCCTCCTCATTTTTTAGGAAGGGAGGGGTCAGTGGATAGCACCAGAGTTGAGGCTTCTCATCCAGCGTCATCAATAGAAAGAGAAAAATACAGGCAGAGACGATAGCCGATAAATGAAATGACGTCGATAGTTTCATTTATCGTTCAATTTCTTGACTTACCGTTTATCGCGACAGGCCTAGTTGAGAAGCCTTGACTGTGCCTACATCCTCCAGAATGGTATGTGGTTCTGGATCAGAGTTCAGAGAATATTCTATTGAATATTCTGTCAGACTTACTATCTATTGATATCGATCACGTGTGTATCGTGATACATATAACTGATTTATTGTCCAACTCTACAAGACAGATAGAAACTGTATTTCAGACTCAAGCTCCTGCTAAAATAAAGACAATAGACAACAAAACAGCTGTACAGATCTGCAAAAATAAACCAATACATAAAGAAACTACATAAAAGTAATAAAGAAAAATCTACCAGTGTGTCCACAACTAAATGGTAAAGTGTAGAGCTTAGGTCTGAAAGTTCTGATTACATTTTTCCCCTAAAATATTTCAATGGTTGAACAATTGTTAAAATGAAATTTCCATCTTTATAAAAGAGTCAAGTGCATGAACATCATCAGAATATTAGTTTTGATCTCAATTATTTTCATTTAAACAGATAATATAATAAATTGGATTTTCACAAGAGTTGCAACTTACCTCTGTTTAGGTTTAGGTTCAGGTGAAAGGAACCTCCTCTGTCTCTTGTAGGTATCCTGAAAGTTGAGTAAAGTTGAGGAGTTAAAATTTTCAACAGGGCCTGCCCGTTTTGGGGATTTTTTAAGTTTCTTGTTTTTCAATTTTTCTTATTTTAAATTGCTTTTGTAAATATTGTCAATGTAAAGCTGCAGATGTCCAGCATTAGCATAAGTGTACATGAAAATGCTACGAAAACAGTTTGAAAACTGATGCATATTGTACTTCCATATTTTACTCTTGTCTGTGTATCGACAAAAACAATTTAATGGGAAAGATAGTGAATCACATTATGCATATGTAACGGGTAATAGATACAGATGAAATTCTTGCTAAAATATGTTTTGTAATTACTATGTGATGAATGGTTTTTGGCGCCCCCTACTGGTTGCCTATAAATAGAAAGCTAAACCGTAAATTAGACGCAGTCTGTTCAGCGCTCTACTGTGTATGCGGAGAGCTGGTGAACCAGTAGTGGAGCTCACTGTGCTAATTTGTGTTGACCATTTATTACAGAAAATTCAACCAACTGGCCTCCTTTGTGTGTATGACGGGACGGGCATAAGGGGAAGCTGTTACACATAACAAAACGTACATACAACAAGCTGTGGAGCTTGTTTTAACCTACTAGCTATTGCTTGGATTAATGCCACAAAATAATTATACATATTAACTTATTGAATTTTTGGAGTACAAACTTCTTATCGCACTCTGACATAAAAACAATCTAATTAACGGACTACTTTAAAAAAAACCTGTTAAATATGCTATAACAAGGTTAGCACGCTTTGACGGTTAACCTGCAGCTAGCTCATGTTGCTAAAACAACGAACTATGTACATAACACCACACGATCAAAAAGCATTCAAAACGAAGGAATCTAAACAAAATCAAAAAAGGTGAACCTACCTTTTACTGACTCTTAACGCAGTAGCAAAGGTTGGACCTTGGATTTAAGGTCATATTTAACTGGGAGTTGGAGCACGCTGTTATTCTACGGAGAATTGTCTCCAACTGCTCCGGTATCTCATAATTATGACTTTGAATCTCATAATTATGACTTTGAATCTCATAATTATGACTTTGAATCTCATAATTATGACTCTTAATCTCATAATTATGACTTTGAATCTCATAATTATGACTTTGAAAGTCGAAATTATGACTTTGAATCTCATAATTATGACTTTGAAAGTCGAAATTATGACTTTGAATCTCATAATTATGACTTTGAAAGTCGAAATTATGACTTTGAATCTCATAATTATGACTTTGAATCTAATTATGACTTTGAACGTCGAAATTATGACTTTGAATCTCATAATTATGACTTCGAATCTCATAATTATGACTCTTAATCTCATAATTATGACTTTGAATCTCATAATTATGACTGAATCTCATACTTATTACTTTGAATCTCATAATTATGACTCTGAATCTCATAATTATGACTTTGAATCTCATAATTATGACTCTTAATCTCATAATTATGACTTTGAATCTCATAATTATGACTTTGAAAGTCGAAATTATGACTTTGAATCTCATAATTATGACTTTGAATCTAATAATTATGACTTTGAACGTCGAAATTATGACTTTGAATCTCATAATTATGACTTCGAATCTCATAATTATGACTCTTAATCTCATAATTATGACTTTGAATCTCATAATTATGACTGAATCTCATAATTATTACTTTGAATCTCATAATTATGACTCTGAATCTCATAATTATGACTCTGAATCTCATAATTATGACTTTGAATCTCATGATTATGACTTTGAATCTCATAATTATGACTTTGAAAGTCGAAATTATGACTTTGAATCTCATAATTATGACTTTGAATCTAATAATTATGACTTTGAACGTCGAAATTATGACTTTGAATCTCATAATTATGACTTCGAATCTCATAATTATGACTCTTAATCTCATAATTATGACTTTGAATCTCATAATTATGACTTTGAAAGTCGAATTATGACTTTGAATCTCATAATTATGACTTTGAAAGTCGAAATTATGACTTTGAATCTCATAATTATGACTTTGAAAGTCAAAATTATGACTTTGAATCTCATAATTATGACTTTCAAAGTCGAAATTATGACTTTGAATCTCATAATTATGACTTTGAATCTAATAATTATGACTTTGAACGTCGAAATTATGACTTTGAATCTCATAATTATGACTTCGAATCTCATAATTATGACTCTTAATCTCATAATTATGACTTTGAATCTCATAATTATGACTTTGAATCTCATAATTATGACTCTGAATCTCATAATTTTGACTCTGAATCTCATAATTACGACTTTGAATCTCATGATTATGACTTTGAACGTCATAATTATGACTCTGAATCTCATAATTATGACTTTGAATCTCATAATTATGACTCTTAATCTCATAATTATGACTTTGAATCTCATAATTATGACTTTGAAAGTCGAAATTATGACTTTGAATCTCATAATTATGACTTTGAAAGTCGAAATTATGACTTTGAATCTCATAATTATGACTTTGAAAGTCGAAATTATGACTTTGAATCTCATAATTATGACTTTGAATCTAATTATGACTTTGAACGTCGAAATTATGACTTTGAATCTCATAATTATGACTTCGAATCTCATAATTATGACTCTTAATCTCATAATTATGACTTTGAATCTCATAATTATGACTGAATCTCATACTTATTACTTTGAATCTCATAATTATGACTCTGAATCTCATAATTATGACTTTGAATCTCATAATTATGACTCTTAATCTCATAATTATGACTTTGAATCTCATAATTATGACTTTGAAAGTCGAAATTATGACTTTGAATCTCATAATTATGACTTTGAATCTAATAATTATGACTTTGAACGTCGAAATTATGACTTTGAATCTCATAATTATGACTTCGAATCTCATAATTATGACTCTTAATCTCATAATTATGACTTTGAATCTCATAATTATGACTGAATCTCATAATTATTACTTTGAATCTCATAATTATGACTCTGAATCTCATAATTATGACTCTGAATCTCATAATTATGACTTTGAATCTCATGATTATGACTTTGAATGTCATAATTATGACTCTGAATCTCATAATTATGACTCTGAATCTCATAATTATGACTTTGAAAGTCGAAATTATGACTTTGAATCTCATAATTATGACTTTGAATCTAATAATTATGACTTTGAACGTCGAAATTATGACTTTGAATCTCATAATTATGACTTCGAATCTCATAATTATGACTCTGAATCTCATAATTATGACTTTGAAAGTCGAAATTATGACTTTGAATCTCATAATTATGACTTTGAATCTAATAATTATGACTTTGAACGTCGAAATTATGACTTTGAATCTCATAATTATGACTTCGAATCTCATAATTATGACTCTTAATCTCATAATTATGACTTTGAATCTCATAATTATGACTTTGAAAGTCGAAATTATGACTTTGAATCTCATAATTATGACTTTGAAAGTCGAAATTATGACTTTGAATCTCATAATTATGACTTTGAAAGTCAAAATTATGACTTTGAATCTCATAATTATGACTTTCAAAGTCGAAATTATGACTTTGAATCTCATAATTATGACTTTGAATCTAATAATTATGACTTTGAACGTCGAAATTATGACTTTGAATCTCATAATTATGACTTCGAATCTCATAATTATGACTCTTAATCTCATAATTATGACTTTGAATCTCATAATTATGACTTTGAATCTCATAATTATGACTCTGAATCTCATAATTTTGACTCTGAATCTCATAATTACGACTTTGAATCTCATGATTATGACTTTGAATGTCATAATTATGACTCTGAATCTCATAATTATGACTCTGAATCTCATAATTATGACCTTGAAAGTCGAAATTATGACTTTGAATCGCATAATTATGACTTTGAATCTAATAATTATGACTTTGAACGTCGAAATTATGACTTTGAATCTCATAATTATGACTTCGAATCTCATAATTATGACTCTTAATCTCATAATTATGACTTTGAATCTCATAATTATGACTGAATCTCATAATTATGACTTTGAATCTCATAATTGTGACTCTGAATCTCATAATTATGACTCTGAATCTCATAATTATGACTCTGAATCTCATAATTATGACTTTGAATCTCATATTATGACTGAATCTCATACTTATTACTTTGAATCTCATAATTATGACTCTGAATCTCATAATTATGACTTTGAATCTCATAATTATGACTCTTAATCTCATAATTATGACTTTGAATCTCATAATTATGACTTTGAAAGTCGAAATTATGACTTTGAATCTCATAATTATGACTTTGAATCTAATAATTATGACTTTGAACGTCGAAATTATGACTTTGAATCTCATAATTATGACTTCGAATCTCATAATTATGACTCTTAATCTCATAATTATGACTTTGAATCTCATAATTATGACTGAATCTCATAATTATTACTTTGAATCTCATAATTATGACTCTGAATCTCATAATTATGACTCTGAATCTCATAATTATGACTTTGAATCTCATGATTATGACTTTGAATGTCATAATTATGACTCTGAATCTCATAATTATGACTCTGAATCTCATAATTATGACTTTGAAAGTCGAAATTATGACTTTGAATCTCATAATTATGACTTCGAATCTCATAATTATGACTCTTAATCTCATAATTATGACTTTGAATCTCATAATTATGACTTTGAAAGTCGAAATTATGACTTTGAATCTCATAATTATGACTTTGAAAGTCGAAATTATGACTTTGAATCTCATAATTATGACTTTGAAAGTCAAAATTATGACTTTGAATCTCATAATTATGACTTTCAAAGTCGAAATTATGACTTTGAATCTCATAATTATGACTTTGAATCTAATAATTATGACTTTGAACGTCGGAATTATGACTTTGAATCTCATAATTATGACTTCGAATCTCATAATTATGACTCTTAATCTCATAATTATGACTTTGAATCTCATAATTATGACTTTGAATCTCATAATTATGACTCTGAATCTCATAATTTTGACTCTGAATCTCATAATTACGACTTTGAATCTCATGATTATGACTTTGAATGTCATAATTATGACTCTGAATCTCATAATTATGACTCTGAATCTCATAATTATGACCTTGAAAGTCGAAATTATGACTTTGAATCGCATAATTATGACTTTGAATCTAATAATTATGACTTTGAACGTCGAAATTATGACTTTGAATCTCATAATTATGACTTCGAATCTCATAATTATGACTCTTAATCTCATAATTATGACTTTGAATCTCATAATTATGACTGAATCTCATAATTATGACTTTGAATCTCATAATTGTGACTCTGAATCTCATAATTATGACTCTGAATCTCATAATTATGACTCTGAATCTCATAATTATGACTTTGAATCTCATGATTATGACTTTGAATGTCATAATTATGACTCTGAATCTCATAATTATGACTCTGAATCTCATAATTATGACTGAATCTCATGATTATGACTTTGAATTTCAGAATTGACTTTGAAAGTCAAATTTATGACTTTGAATCTCATAATTATGACTTTGAATCTCATAATTATAACTGAATCTCATAATTATGACTTTGAATCTCATAATTATGACTGAATCTCATAATTATGACTTTGAATCTCATAATTATGACTCTGGATCTCATAATTATGACTCTGAATCTCATAATTATGACTTTGAATCTCATAATTATGACTTTGAATCTCATAATTATGACTGAATCTCATAATTATGACTTTGAATCTCATAATTATGACTCTGGATCTCATAATTATGACTCTGAATCTCATGATTATGACTTTGAATCTCATAATTATGACTTTGAATCTCATAATTATGACTCTGGATCTCATAATTATGACTCTGAATCTCATGATTATGACTTTGAATCTCATAAT